ACAGGAGGACGCTAGTTTGTGTCCTCCCGTTACCCTAAGGAGAACTATGGGGAAAAGCCTTAACCCCATAGTTCTCCTTTAAGAAGCCATGCATCCCTAACCTAAGTAAAAGCATTTTAAACTGCAGCAAGCATTTTTTTTTGCGTAGGCTATGTGAATGGCAATAATGTATGGTGTTATGCCAGCTTGGCTGTGAAAGTAAAAGTATACTTTAAGATACTATAGTACAGTTTTTGTGAAGAGATACTCTCCACGTAATGCAGAAAACCTTGTAATGTGATTGACAATGCGCATTTAACATAGTTGTTGCCCTATCTGAACAGCACTTGAAATATTTGAAATTGTATTTACATTTATATTTGAAATCTTAGTAAAGTTTAATCTTTCAACCATTTTAGGCTTCATCAAGCTTGCTGGGACAACCTACAGTATCCTGTGAGATATCACTGGACAGGAGACCAGTCCTGTGCTGAAAAATATAGCTCTATACAATTACATCAATTACTCTTTTTTTTATAACCCAATGTAGTTAACTGGAATATAAAATAGTGCAGTCCATGCTTCCCGCTTCCCAGAAAAAGCAATAATGAAACGCTCATCCTGCTGTTATTTACAATCCTGGGAAAACTAGAATCTAGTGGTTGTTTCCAGTAGTCTTTTCGCAGTACCCCATTTCAACACAAGGTGGCGCTACAGATGGTGTGTGTAATCACATCTCTTGATCTCAAGAAATTCAGAGAACTGCAGGAAGGTGCACTCCATTATGTTACACGCAAAATGTAGATCCCTTTAATAAAAAGCAGAAACTCATCAAATATGGTTCTGAAATCGTATTTTTCACATTCCAAGTGTCAGTACATGGTATACAAAGAGACAGGACTAGAATTAACTTTTTTTTGAAACTGCTACCGTTTTGAAACAAATGCTCACTTCATCTTCCTTGAATCCATTGTTGAGTTTTTTTTTCTGGTGTAAATTCCACCTCAACAAGTTGCCTTTAATTACAATGTCTTATACTGCTACCTAATTATGTTTGAATAATTGTAGTTACCAGCAATTAGCTTTAAAAAGAAAACTAGTTCAATTAGCGCAAAAAAACAAATGAATGGGTTCCAGCCAGCAAAATGTATTACGTTTATGTAAAATTTCGAATTCAAGAGCAGCTTGATGTATAATTTTGGTCAGGAAGGCATATTTGCATGATATAAAATAGAAAAGAAAGAGTGTATTTGGCTTCAAGAAAGTATTTACAGCTTTTTTATAACTCTGTGCAAGTAAGTAGCTACAGTATGTAGGTCATGGACTCATATGGTCTAAGAAGAGTGATATCTAATTCTGGAAAAAAAAAACATATCTGTTCAAAAATAACTTACCCTTCCAAATACACCCAGTGGCATAACTATAGCCATAGCAGCCCACTCAGCTGCTTTGCGGTCTGGGGTTGAGAGGGGAGACCCATTAGGAAAATAAACTGTAAAGTCTGCAGTCTAGAACCTTGTTTCTTAACCTTTTTCAAGTTGTGGCACCCTTTAAAAGTATGCACAATCTCAAGGCACCCCAGTCTTTATGTAACAAAGGATATATGGCCCTTCTAAAACCTTCTCTGCTGTCTGAGATAAGGGTCTGGTATGCATTTTAAGGGAATACACCACGCAAAAACACAAAACATAATGAGTTTGCCCTTCCCATCAGAGTCCCCCTTTCAAATCAGGAGGCCCCTTCACATAAGAACACCCCTTACACATTAGAGTCCCCCTTTACATCGGGGGCCCCCTCCTTTTACATTAGAGTCCCATCTCAGCCCAGGAGCCCAGATTCACATTAGAGCCCCTTTCTCTCATAATAGGAGTCCTGTTTAATATGGAATACCATGGAAAGGCATGTGCAATCATTTTGAGGCACCCCTGACGAAGCCTGGTTGAGAAAGGCTGGTCTAGAGGACCTGATGCCAGACATACAGGCATCATTATCCTTACTAATTACAATAACAGTGCAATAAAATCATACTGTGTCACACATCAAAAGAGGATCCCCAATGGTTTCCTTACACTCTGACTGGAGACGTTTAGAGTTTAGGAATGAAATGGTAAGGAAGAGGGAGTTGGAGGTCAGAGAGTGGTGAAGTGGGGGTCAGTCTCATGGTGTAAAGTGGTAGAGTGGTCCTTCCTTACCAGTTTACCTCAAGCAGTAACTGAATCAACCAGTGGATTAGGGAATTGTTTATGCATGCCGGTCTGCTTGATAGAGGTGAAATCTAGGTTTGATTGGATCAAACTCATCCCTACATTCTAGTAATGATGCTTTCATAGAAACATACAAAACATTTGAACTGAATAATAATAATAATGTAAAATAGTATAATAATGATGATAAGTATAACACCTAAAACAATTCAAACACAAACGGTATAAAAATAATAATAATAATAATATAACAATACTACTACTACTACTAGTGCTGCTAATAATAATAATAAACTGCTACTACTACTACTTATACCACAACTACTACTACTAATAATAATAACAATCATCATCATCATCATGTACAATAGTATAATACGATGATAATTATAATACCTAAAATAAATTCAAACACAAACTCAATAATAACAATAATAATAAAAACAATAATACTACTGTTATTGCTAATAATAATAAACTACTACTACTACTACTATTAATAATACTACACATAATAATAATTATAATTAATATTATTTATAATAATTATTATATTAATATTATTTATAATAATATTATTGATAATAATAACAAAAATATTGAAGCAACATATTGAGAAAAGTAAAGTATCCTTGGAACAAATATTTATTATGCAGAATGTTAGCAATTATCAGTGCTCATTTGATAACCATTTTCCATTACTGTTTTTATTTAGACCTGTCTGTTATTTTTAGCTTATATTTTGTTTTGAAGCATAAATAGGTATTTCAGGAGAGAGGTGTATGTCCATGGGACTGAAGGTGTTAATGAGCGATTGCATCTGTGATTGCACACTAGGGACTGTAACCAAGAAGCAGGAGGTATTTTTCTAGCTGCATCATCTGCTGGTTAGTCAGGATTCCCCGGCTGTTGCGCTTAGGGGCTGTGGCTTGCCACAATGTCTGTGTATGGTAAGGATAATAATGGAATATGGTCCCTGGGGTATGAATGTACCTATAGGAGATCGGTATACCACAAACAAAACACACGTGAAGGTCAGAGAAAACAACCTTTAAGATTTAAACCTCATCATCTGTTGTTGTTTATGGACAATTAATCTGATGAGCAATGTATGAAATGCATTGGCAAGTGGCAACCAATAAGCAGTAATCCTCTGCTGGAAAGAATTAATCTCTTTGTACTTATTTCCAAAGGTGTGATTTACAGCTCTTAGCTTATTAGCGTGCAGGACAAAGAAAATTGTTCAAGAGAAATGTTTGAAACCTAAGCTCTTATCAGAAATCAGCCGTACTGCTTGATACGATATCTGATGCTGAAATGGGCTGGTTGTTTTTGTGTTTAGTAAATATAGCAGCATTTTCCCAAGTGACCGGTTAGCTGGGAACACATGGTTAGAATTTTGTTTGCAAACGGCAGTTTTTTAAATGCGCATTTGAATTTTCTATTCCGAAAGGTTTTATTAAGAAAAACATAAAGTATTAAAGTATCAGTGAAACACAAGAATAATTACAGCAATGTGTCCAGTGAGTAGAGACATATCAATCAAATATACTAAGGTGCAATGAAATGGATAAAAGCAAACATCGCCCAAAGGATAACATTCTAAATATTAACAATCACTTATAAAGCCATCCACAACTCTGCCCCCGGCTATATCTCAAACCTTGTCTCAAATATCACCCTAACCGCCCCCTCCGCTCCTCGCAAGAGTTCCTGTTTTCCAGCTCCCTTGTCAACTCCTCCCATGCTCGCCTCCAGGACTTCTCTAGAGTCTCTCCCATCCTCTGGAACTTTTTACCCCAACCTGTCCATCTATCTCCCACCTTGACTGCCTTTAGGCTATCCCTAAATACTCATCTCTTCAGGGAAGCCTATCCCACCTCAACCTAACCACTAAACCATCACGTTCACAAACAATTCATCCCTATACACCTACCTCCTCATGTATCACTTGGCCCTCCTATTTAGATTCTAAGCCTTCAGGGGCAGGGCCCTCCTTACCATCTTGTCTTGAATTGTATTGTGATTGTAATGTCTTCCTTATATTGAAAAGCGCTGCACCAACTGTTGGCGCTATATAAATCCTGTATAATAATAATACTAATAATAATAATAATAACATTTGAGACCGATCAGATGTTCCAGGCAGATCCGTTCTTCTGCACATGCGCAGCGAACCAATCTGCCCTGAAACAGCCGACAAAGCATTGGAATGCTTGACCTAATGGGCAGTCACACATTCCACTGCTGTGAAACTGGACGGGATTACGTTGGAATGTGTGACCATGTCACCAGTCACACATTCCAAAGTAGTCACAAACTTTGATAGAACACAGGCAGACTGTAGTGGGTGGGGCCTGCTTGGTCCCTCCCACAGCCCTTCTCTCTGCACAGGCTGTGTACAGCACAGTGGTGATGTCACTGCTACTGCTAAGTCAATAACTGTGATTACAAAACATTTTGGGGAACGCAAAGATGATGTATATCCTTTGTGGCTTTCTGAATATATCTGAATGAAAGTTGTTGTGCTCAGAGTATAGTTTTATGAATCAAACTGTAAGACTTGAATTGACTATTCTTTTTATGCGCATGGAATGTATTTACCTAATTTTACCCAAAAGTAAAATTGGATTTTAAAACAAAGAAAAACAATTTGAAAATAAACTTATGTGTAAAAAGAAAAAAAATATCAAGTTTGTGTATTTACAGCAACTGTTTTTGGGTGCGATAGATTACAGGTGACAGGTTCTCTTCCAGACAGTATATCAGGCATTGCCCCCATCTTAACAATCTCTTGTAACTTTGTTCTCTATTTAGATTCTACAAAAGACACTTACACAGATGAGTCAGAACATGGGACGTACGACTGCCGCACCGATCAATCCCTGCTCATTCAGCACAAACTTAACAGGCAAAAACAAGGCTCTCACAAATCTCAAAAGGTAATCCAGATATTCCGTCCCCAGTCGATATTTGTGTGAGCGTATTGTATTCTGTACACACGGCGGTTATACACAGACAACAATCAATTACGGGACACCTCGCTTCAACAGTCTAATAAGCCCTGGGCAATACACTTAATAGAAATAACTTTATTTAAGCGCAGTTGGAGAGCAAAATACATTACTGTATTCTTCTGACTTCCCACAGTTAATAGATTCTTGTATTCTTCCTTAAGGCCCACATACTGGTTATTTATAACTGACTTAAAAGCAATCGAGTTTGTATTTTCTAGAATGTTTCAAACAAAGTCACAAAAAGCGTCAAAGGAGTTTGAAGGTTTTAAGTAGACAAACTCCAGGAAAATATTTTATTAACCCTTGCAGTTGGGCTATCCCCGCACTACAAGGGGTAAGTCCTCGTTTGTGTCTAAGCTTGAAAATTACAAAGATATACTCACCTAAAGCTTCGAGTCGGCCAGCTGTCACAGCCCTCCCTCCTGCCTGTCTTCTCCTCCGCAGCAGCATTGGGAGCTCCCTTGGCCTCCTCACATCAATAGCCAGTGTCAAGGGCGTAACTAGAAATCACAGGGCCCCATAGCAAAATGTTGTATGGGGCCCTTTGATTTCTAGTTACGCCCCTTGCAGAGCCCACCTGATTGATCAAACAGCCCACCTGAGAGTGATGCTGCAGAGCCCACCATAGACTCTCAATGGTGGGCTCTGCAGGGTCTCAGGTGGGCTGGACACACCCATGCACACCTCTTACCTATCAGCCCCGATCCGCTGTCCACCTCCTCCTCCTACTGCATGGTTGCTACCGTGCTCCGCCTCCTCTTCCATCGCTGGGTCCTGTCTCCTCTTCCATCGTCGGACCCTGCCTCCTCTTACGTCACTGGCCCCTCCTCCTCTTGCATCGTCGTGCCCCACCTCCTCCTCTGCTGTCGACACCGGGCACAGCATCCTCCTCCGCAGCTGCTCCCTGTCACAACACAGCAGCGGCTGTGAGGAGGACAACACAGTTGAACGGATCACTGACAGGTTGTCAGTGATCTGACAGCTACACGTTCCTCCTCACACCTGCCAGTGACAGCCAGCAGCCTGCGATGCCATAGCGACCCAGGCGGCCCGCACGACATCAGGAGGATGTCCTGGCTGGGCCCCCCTGTGCCCTGGGCCCCATAGCGGCTGCCTGGGTCGCTATGGTGATTGTTACGCCACTGGACAGTGTATAAACGTGATGATTTACGGAACCTTAGACTGCTGCAAAGGAAGGGGAGAGACTCTGGAAGGACCTGTCTAAGATGAAGCCGGCTCAGAGCATGGGGTGAGTATAACTTTTTTTAACCTAGACACATAGGACCAGTTAACCCTTGCAGTGCAGGGTAACCACACCGCAAGGGTTAATTAAAAAAATCCTGGAGTTCTTCTTTAAATTAGACTATATGACCCTGTGGTTTCATTGTTAAAAGTGTCATCAGATATACAGTATTTCTGCATGTTAGGTGCATGCATGTAAGCTATGTGTAAGTGTAACTATTCTGTTTCAAATGTCGCTATATGCAAAAGACATACCTCCTGAGACCCAGTCTGTATGGACAGTATGGCAGCTTGCCAACTTTGCAAAATCCACAGGTAGCTTAAGGCCTCATTCACACGTCTGAATAGGTGCAGACTGCAAATTCCTGTGGCAAGAATCACCAGATTCTTGAGGCTGGAATTAAAGGTGAATGCGGACAGATGGCAGCTGTCCGCCCCTGTTCGCATGTTTCCGCACATCCCATGCTTACCTGTGACTAAGGACAGATGAACATGCCAAATCCACAAATATCAAAAACTGACACGCTGCTGTGACAGCATAGTAACACTTACATGTATTTATTACCTATCACAGACATCACATGCCTTAATCAGATGTCTTCCCCAGAAGGATGATGACATCTTTCTTCAGGCATTATTCCAAGTAAGCATCTATGTCCTGGACTGAGATGCTGGCTCATTAAAATAGTCCAGAAACAACTTTATCCTACTAGGGTCAAGGGACAATCAGGTATAATGGTCAACGCTACCAAACCAGCTTTCCCCTCCCAACTCAATACAAATTTCAAGTTGCAGATATTGTAGTCCTCATACATAATTTCTCTCACTAAGCGTTGCTGAAGGGGATGCTTTTGGACCCTGAAAAGCGTTGGATATTCTACTTGATTGCTCCCTGACCCTAGTGGAATAAAGTTGTATCTGGGCTATTTTAATTGGTGTGGTGCTTCAATTTCTACTGTGTTCACTAGGCCACGGATACTGTGGAGACCCTTAGGCCAGTGATAGTTACCTATCAATTAGCCAGATTACACATATTCAGTCACATCACTTAACCACTATTGGATGATAAAAACAGAATAATCTCACAGGTATAGTGCTTTTTTTCCACTTCCAAATATTCACATCTAAGATGATAGCTCATCGTGTATAACAGTCTTGTAAACTCTGGTTCTGTGCAGTTTTGTGCTGTATTCACAAATGTCTGACATAGATCAGTCCCTGCTGCAGCCTTTCACCTTGTGACTGCTACAAAGTTACAATGCTTCACTCTTATTGCTGATGCAGCAGCTTGTATTCTTTCTGAATCACTAAACAGGGACAACTATGCAGATCAGGAGTTCTACCTTCACTCCTTCACTACCTTTCTAATCTTCATACTTGTCAATGCCTTAAAGTATTGATACTAAAGACAGCCAGGTAACTAGTACTCTTGTAAGTTGGTGCGCAGTGGCAAACCCTAAATTTCCAACACTATAGGTTTCCTTTGAAGTGACTCACTCTATGCACGCTTACTCGGCTTCTAGAAATGTTCCTGTGCTCTGAAACATTCTTCATTCATCTCAAATTCCTATTTGACTCCATGTGGTCACATGCAGTTTATCACAGTTGTAGATTGTTCCATGGAACTGCATATATGTGATTTATTTTTTAAAGATGACTTTTACTTGAAATATTTATGGGATCATGCATTGATATGCTGCATTTCCACATTATCTGGGCCGAAGTTTTTAATGGTTTGTGAACTTAAAACAAATATTTAATATTTAGGTGTGTAGCGCTTTCCCCCACCCGAAGGAGCCGCTGGAATAAGCTGGGATTGGCTGTCCCAATAGGACTTACTGCCCTTCTGTGGCGACCGATAAACTGAGATCCAGACTGAAGATATGATGCTGAGAACTTTACTGTAGAACTCAGGGAGAGAGAGATAGGGCTCAGGACACCCAGGGTAGACTTCATTAAGTGCTGGAACAAAGTACTTACTGCCATCACAGATATAGGACCTTCAAGCCAATTGTGGCAATCTGTGTCTTGAGTAAGGATGGGCCAAGTGTTCGATTCGAACATGAGTTCGAATCGAACATCGGCAGTTCGAGTGCTCGCCGAGCGCCGAACTTTATGGAATGTTCGCGGTCTGTTCGACCGCGTACATTCCATAATACAAAATGCCCACTAAAGCTCTGATTTGTTACAGTCTTGCTCCTGACCACAGGTCAGGTGCAAGACTTTGCCCAATCAGGGCTCAGCGGAGGAGGGGCCTGAAGGAGAAAGTTCTCTATCAGGTCCCCCCATGTGGGCGGGTGCAATAACCAGCTTGCTATTGGCTATTGCATTTTACAATATCCAATAGCAGGCTGGGTATGGCTCTCAGCCTGCAGACGAAGTAGAGGCAGGGGGGCGGGGCAGAGGAGCCACGGCTGGACCGAAGAAGAGAAGCCGATGGACCGCCGGGACAGCGAGTGGACGGACCAGGAGGCCGGGACAGCGAGCGGACGGACCAGGGGACCGGAGGCCGTTACAGCAGCGCAGGTAAGGGGGCAGTACACAATATTTATCACATGTACCGGCAACTGTATGAGGGTCGAACATTCGACCCCCATACACTTGCATTGAGTTTGAGTTCGTATTCGAACATTTCGGCTGTTCTAATGTTCGAATACGAACCGAACAGGGGGGTGTTCGGCTCATCCCTAGTCTTGAGCTCCTGGCTATGCAGTACTTGGAACAAAAGCAACTAGTTCATTCAGGAACAGACCTTCAAGTTGCAGCAAGGGGTCACTTCTCAGGCTCCCCGTACCTGGTAAAGTTTCTCTGTCATCTTCATCCTCAATTCCAAACACTGGGCCTCAGGCTTAGGCCTCAGTGTGAGCACTGTCATGGTCTGTGACCGGGGCACACAAAACGACAAAAAGTAGCGTGCAAAAAATGGTGTCTGTGCGGTAACAGGGACGCACTAGAGGCGCAGGTTCTAAGAAGGGCCAGGTGTTCGACAGAGCCTCTAATGGTCAGGATGATTGGCTGCTGGACACCTTCCAGGTTGCGGCCCTCTAGCATGCCCACACAGACATAAAGATTAGTTGCAGCACCGAGGTGCTGGATGCATCAGCAGACAGGGTTGAAGCCTATACACAGCCACACAAGTAGGCACAGGTGCAAGGACTCACTTGAAGAAGCTGATGATCAATCCAATGCAGGACGTACAGGATCTCGCTGTGAGGAAGAGGGAATCCAGAGTCACAGGAGACAAGGTAGGTGGTGGGCAACCGCAGGGATTACAGAGGCAAGAGATAAACAGGAAGTCCGACTGGGTGAAAAGACACGTTGCTCGAACGGCACGGAACAAGTGAGCTGGACTTTTAATGGAGAGGTTCAGAGTGGATTGGCAGGAAGCCAAGCAGCTCAGACAGGAGGTAAAACCCGGAACCGAGGTGCTGGATGCATCAGCAGACAGGGTTGAAGCCTATACACAGCCACACAAGTAGGCACAGGTGCAAGGACTCACTTGAAGAAGCTGATGATCAATCCAATGCAGGACGTACAGGATCTCGCTGTGAGGAAGAGGGAATCCAGACTCACAGGAGACAAGGTAGGTGGTGGGCAACCGCAGGGATTACAGAGGCAAGAGATAAACAGGAAGTCCGACTGGGTGAAAAGACACGTTGCTCGAACGGCACGGAACAAGTGAGCTGGACTTTTAATGGAGAGGTTCAGAGTGGATTGGCAGGAAGCCAAGCAGCTCAGACAGGAGGTAAAACCCGGCGCCGCCCCTCACACAGGGAAGTGTGACATTTTGGATAGCTTTGTTCCCTAGACTTCAGGCCTAGACAGATCTGTCAGTCCATAGCAGCTTCCCCCCAGGCAGGAGCCCGGGGGAGAAAGAGAATCTCATATGGTCCACCCGAATATATTTATGTCCTCTCCCAGCATGCACCACTGGCCATGAACCTCCTAGTGATTGGCCAGGGAGACATGAATATTCATAACACTCTATTATTGGTTGCTCTCCTCTTTGGCAAGGATACACCTATCAGGAGGCAGATGCAAAGGATAACTCAAGGGATTGCTCAAGGAAAACCTAATCAGCATAGATTAGCAAATCAGTATCAGACTGAATACAATCTAACAGCAACTAAATTTGCTTACAGGGTGCTACACATGGTTGCCAGAGATTCAAGTATGACCCAACCTTCTTTTATCTCCCTGCTCATGAGTTCACAGACTTTCCCAGCCTACCATGGTCCCTATATCAGCAATCCACATTCCCTGATTATTCACCATTTATGGTTAGCACTTCTGTCTTGCACCACTAAGGGGCACTGGTTCAAATCCTGGTCAGGACACTATCTGCATGGAGTTTGCATGTTCTCCCCATGCTTGTGTGGGTTTTCTCTGAGTACTCTGGTTACCTACCACATTCCAAAGTCATGTTGGTAGGTAATTTACTCCTGTCTAAATCAGCCCTAATATGTGTGTGCATGTATTAATGCATTTGAGACAGGGACCTTAGATTGTAAGCAACTTGAGGGCAGGGACTGATGAGAATGTGCAGTATGGAAAGTTCTGCGTAAATTGTCATCACCAAATTAATATTGCAGTAACTAAATGCATTTACATTATGTTAGGATGCCTTCATCAGAAGGAATGTGACTCCCTTGCTTGAATTTATAATAGTTTTATGCCCAAGGGCTTGGCTGGATAACATAATTATGCCTCATCTAAACACATCATTGTTCACCCAAAACTAAAACTTCAGCTTTTGCTGGACTTTTTTTAAGTGTCATAATCAGGACTGTTGTTATACTGAGGCAGCCTGAAGCTGTTGACTTAGGTGGCATCTCTTTGGGTCACATGAATGGGGCAGGCGGAGTGGCATGTTTGCAGTGTGCGTGCCACCCCCTTTCTGGCCAGAGCGTCCCAGGTTGCTAAGAGCCAGGCGGAGAGATGTGTAATGGCCTGGGACGCTTTGGATGGCGTTCTGCTCATCTCCTGGAAATGTCACCCCACCTAGATATATGTCATCCTTAAAGCATGAACCAACAGCAACCTCCCCCCTTACCCGTCGCTAGGGACACCCATGGCTATAATTGTTTATTTTGCAAAATAAGAGACCTTTTCGAAATGTACTAACTCCATCCACAATCTCTTACAGTGCAAAGAAGATTTATTAAGCAAAGAAAAACATATATCCGACCACTTCCCGCCACACACAGAGCCGGTATGGATATTTTTTTTTATGATACATATCAAATAACTGTTTATTGGTGATGTGGATAAGGTAAAAGTTCATATTGATTCATTTACTGAACTATTGCATGTTTCCTGTTTTTAGTTTTGTTTTACTGCACAAAAACATATTTTATCTGCTGTCAGCGGTAAATTAAATCTACTAACTTTGATCAGTTCATGGAATATTTCCTTAAAAGGATTGAGCATTTATTCTCGTAAAATTACACTCATCCATTAGCCATTAAAAAATTACATTTCGCAGTGACCAGCTCTGAAATTTTGGTATCTGAAGTGCGTTAAGTGGAGTAGAAAAGTCCATTGCTGTGTCAAAAGCACAATGGCCTTTGACCTCAATTCAATCTAAAGACATCCGTTTGGCAAATGCTGGGATTTGATGATGCAGCAAGAATGCTGTATACTACTGGAAACACTTAGCAGGTGAAGGGATATAGGGTTTTAATGATTAATCTTGTAATATAACTGCATAAAAGTAAACAGCATGAAATGCCGGTCTAATAATTAGAAAGAAGAAACTAAAACTAAATTAGTATTTTTCGGATAAACCCTCCAAAACTAGCATTAATGATTTAGAAAAATTGTATGATGTTTTCAGAGTTGCTCTGGGAATAGATGAAACTCATCAGTCACTATTAGAATTTGAATACGGAGCTATAGGCTTGTGACATTTGCCAGATCCTGGACAGAGAACTCTAATGCTCCGCAGGCTTTAAAAAAATGTAACTGAAAACAATATGCAGACAGTCCCCGACAACCTGTACTTATGAACCGAGGTCTGAGACTGCAGCCACTGTACCCTGCAGCATTCCACTGCGCAGCATTCCACTAGTAACGGTGTTTGTGTCAACGATCGCAGACGAGTAGTGGGTCTGGATTGTAGTACTGTACGTCCTGCAGGAAGTTGTTAATTAGTGCCCGGCCTCTTCTTCCAGGTCTGGTACTGAACAGGAAGTTGGGTCTGGCTGTCATAACCCTGTATGTACTGTACAGTGTACTGAACACTTTTATTTGTCTTCCTTGTCTACTTGTTTGCCTGTAACAATGCCGTAAAACAAATCTGATACAAGTGCTGGTTCTGCTCTCCAAAAAAAAAAATATGTTTTTTTTTGGCTGGAGTTACACCTAAAAAATTTACCTGTTCCAACTTACATACAAATTCAACTTAAGAACGGACCTACAGTCCCTATCTTGTTCGTAACCTGGGGACTGCCTGTATGTGTTCAAATCAAAATAACTTACATACTAGACATGTGCACTGCCAAAAATTCGTTTCGTTTCGTTTTAAATTCGGATTTGTGTTATTTCGTTTTTCGGGATTCGGGTGTGAAAGTCAATTCGGATTCGGAATTCGGATTCGGACGAAATTCGGTAGCGTTCGCACGAACGTTCGTTTCGTTTTCTGTTCTTATTCGTTTCTTATTCGTTTCGTTCGTTTGCAGCAAAAGTGACATTTGAGGGGGAAAAAATATTTTTCTCCTTCTCTAATGTCACTTTGCTCCAACGAACGAAACGAATAAGAAACGAATAAGAACAGAAAACGAAACGAACGTTCGTGCGAACGCTACCGAATTTCGGAAATGGAAATTCGGATTCGTTTGCATTCGTTATGTCTGTAATTCGGAATTCGGATACATCCGAATGTCCGAATTTACGAAAATTCGTCCGAATTTCGATTCGGAACGAAACGAATCGCACATGTCTAATACATACTGTACAATATATCAGATGCTAGATGTGAGTGACTACATGGTAAATCTCATCTCCAGATAAATGGCTAAATACAGAGATGAAATACATGTAACAAAAGTGTTTTACCTGCCAAAGGATTTGTATTTCTGTCCATCCAGTTCTGTGATTTGCACAGCTCTTTGCCAATCATCACGTCCCTGTAAGGCAGGGCAGTAGACCTGCTTTTTCTCTGCTGCAGACAAGTAACACCTACAGGTCTTGTTCCTCCTCCATCCCAATCCCATCCCTACACATGTGAGCTATTCTTTCTGTTACTCTGTCCTCCCCTGGTGTCAGCATGTTCTTTGTTAACACACTAGCACTGCAACACACCTGATTGGTTCCTTATGCTGCTTTTTTTTCTCTTAGTCTAAGTTCTGCTCTGCAGGGGCTGCAATAGGTTAATAGCCATATAGTCTCAATATGAGAAAAAAGCAGGAGGAGAGCTACAGGACGAGATCTGGCCACTGACCCCCACTATACAATAGAACTGAAATATTACCTGTGCTCAAATACATTTAAAATGTAGAGTAGGGACTGGCTAGAGGGGATCACTTTGCCACAGTTGGCCAAGTGAAACATGTATTACAATACTGTATATGTGAACTAAGAATCCCTGTTTTTATGGAATAGTTTTCTAGATGTATGTGAGGGTGTACAGCAGTGAGTAGAGGATTAACTCAAAATCTTAGGCTTTAAAGTAAACCTAACTTGGCAAAATATTTTCTAAGGGGACAACAGTGACCACGAGTACCTGTGTTAGCATAGCACCCAACTGTTCCTTCTTTGGAAGAACAATCATTATTTTGGAACTAAATTCTTCTGTGCTATTCAACTAGCAAAAGTGTAATAGTACAGTAAGCCTTTCATCCAAACTCTATTTACTGCATTTGTTATTTTGAAAAGACATTATAAAGTCTGAGAATGGTGACAAAAGAAAAAATAAACTTCTGAGTTTAAGAAAAATGGTCCACATAATTGGGGTTGTGGCAGGGGTGTGTCCTTTGTACATACTTTGTGTTAAAAGGTTTCTTGTTTTCTCATCCCAAAAAATCTCTAGATGTAGTGTTAGGTTCTACAACAATCCCCGTGTTCCTGTGGAGGCCCAGGCTGTACTGACATGACATTGACATAACAAATTCTCTAACTATTTTGTATTTATTGTTTAGTCTTGGATAGAGTAAGGAATGGTCAGTAGTATGGATGCACCGATACTGTTTTTTCAGTATCGAGTACGAAAACCGATATTTAGCTTTTGGTACTCGCCGATAATGAGTATTGATACCGGTGCTACCGTTGGCATGGAAACGGCTTCCCGGGCAAACAGGAAGCCGGGCAGCAGGTAATGACATCCCACCCGGCTTCCTGATTGCCCGGGAAGCCGACTCCAAGTTTTCTGGCCGGCTCGATTGTAAATGGCCAGGAAACCGACTTCTCAGCTAATCAGCATCGAACCGGCTTCCTGACCAATAACCCACCTCTCGGGTTCCTGATTTTCTGTGAAGCCGGTTCCATGCTGATTGGCCAGGAAGCTGGATTCCCAGCCAATCAGCATGGGGGTGGCTTCCCAGAGAAATTTTATCCCAGAAACACAACAGGAAGAGGGAGGTAATCTCTACAAAGTACAAAACATATTTACTTAAACAATTGTCACTGGAACAAGTGTCCCTATTGGAACATTTGGAACACACATTTGGAAGCCATCCGCTTCTCCGTTCCTCCGCTCCTGGTGACAGTGGACACAGTAGGACAAACAGAGTGTCCCCATTGAGGACACAGACAGGGATATACATTGATGGAGGTATTTAACCCTTCCCAATTCTGTCTAGAAAGTACTGGTGCTCAGTTTGACAGCTGAATAACAAAGCAAAAGGCTTAGCACTACAGGGTGCTGGGTTTAATCTGACTTTGGCAGATTAAAAGGGCACTTGTACAGCCTTGGCCACTCCACAGGGACACATTAATTTATTGAAGACTAACACGGTAAGAAACCAGCACATCAGCACTCTTAACAGACATTTTATTTAAACAATTAAGGCTAATGGTGCAGTCACTCACAATGAAGTCACACTAGCCATTCTTTAACAGCATAGATAAGCTAACTGTACTGAACAAATCTGGAATTAATTCAGATAATATTTGAGTAATTAACCCATGATGTCACCCAGATGGCCTAATTAGCACAGCTGCAAATTGGGAATTAGGAGAGGGGGTATAGTTTTTCCTTTACTGTTCATTCTAATTAACACACATTCTGGCCTTTGCTTAGTGATTTCTAGCAATTTAAGCCATTTTCATCTAGGTTTTGAACTCAATAGAAATATAGTTTATTATATGTCAGTGGTGGTTGTGGGTTGCCTTAATACATTTGATTATTTTGTAACCAAAGACTGGTAGAAAGCAGTTACAATTTCTAGAATTCTACAAAGCAAATGCAACTTTGTTACTTTCCTGTCCCCTGGCTGTGAATGAACAGTAAAGGGTAGCACTGAACTAAAAAACACATCCCTCACTTCACTCTTCCTGTCACCATGTCTTTTCTTTTTCAAATGGTGCTATATATAAAAGACATACCTTCCGAGGCTTAGTCTCTGCTGGCTGTATGAACACTTGCTGACTTGACAAGATTCACAGACAGTTTCAACTAACCAAGTTGACTCAGAGTAGAAACCAATGTAGTTTATTCTTATGCTGTATTATTATGTATTTATTCTTATGCTGTATTATATTAAGGATGTTTTTCTGGGTGTTTCTTGCACGTTAAAAAGCATTCCAATGACAAAGCCTCCTGACTTTGTAAAGCTGGTTTACTAGCAAGGGAGAAACAGAAACTAACTCCTAGTAAGGAGGGCCAAGGAGCGTCTAGCTTAGGCTGTACTAACTAGCATTAAAGTGGAGGGAAACGCAAAGGACACTGTACACTGAGCCGCACATGCGCAGATCAGTGCACAGACCAGGAATGGCAAGATGTAGTAACAACTACTGAGGCACTTTTTTTGTATTTAAATTAAAAAAGCTTTACTTCTGCTTTAAGCTAGCCATAGACAAAAGGGGTCATTCAGATCATGCCAGCATCTAAGTCTCTAAATGGAAACGGAAATTCAGACAACTGTTGAGGTGTGTTACTGACACTTGCAACACTAGTGTATTAAAGAAGTTTCTAATCTGCCCAATACATTTCTCTTCATCTCTCCATCTGAAAATGCCCAAATCAGGGACTTTGATCTAATGCCTATGGGCGCCTTATATCAATTAGTTATCATCACATGCATTGGGGTTGATATACTAAAGGAGCAGAAAATGTTCACTTACCAGAATGAATGTTCAGTGAGTATAGCAATGCTGTGTTCACCTTAATAAACCAATCATATTCTATCAAAATCCTGTTTTTTTGCTTTTTTTATTTTACGTGATTGGGTAATGTACTAACATGCACTTTGCAAAGGGAGCAGTCCCTGCTCCTTTACCCTAATTAGTTTTACTGATGTATTCCTTAAGTGTCTGCAGCCTGAGTGATAACTTCATTAGGGTATAGAGGTGGCAGATTCACATCAAGCTTTCCAATTGGTAAGCCAAGGTAATTTTTCTGTTGAATTCAGGTGATTATGTAAACAGTAATAATGAGCTAAAGTGGCCTGGATTTGGTTTGTTCAGACCTTAAATAGACCTAGCCAGAAATCCAGGTTTAGCACACATCCAAGTAAGCCAAACCTAGGACCATGTCTGTCCCAGTAAACAATGATGCTGAGTCATCATTTTTCACAGTTATTAAATAGATGTAACAAAATGCTATCAATTGGATATTTACCAAACTGAAAGAGAGCAAATGAAGAAGTTAATTGTCAGTGGTTACATACACTTTAATTCCTAAACTGCCACAGCCACCGATGAGTTAAAACACCTTTTAAAAATAAAGCTACCATATATATA